GGGGGCTGCTGTGCTGTGCTGTGTCTTGTATGTTGCATGGACCTGTTTGGCTGTCTGTCCATCAATCAGGTGTTGGGAGGCGTGATGCCTAGGGGGAAGCGCGTCATCACCGAGCATGCTCAGGTATTTATTGCGTAGCTGCATGGATGTGTGTGTGCACCGTACGTATGTGTGTGTGGGGTCACGGATGGATGGGTGTGTGTGTGTGTGCGTGTGGGTGCAGGTTTACGATCGGTCGCCCGGCCCGCAGAGCTACTTTGCTCGCTGGTGTTATCTGAGCAACCTCAGATGAAGGAATCATCACATCACAGACGCATCCACCCTTTGCTATGCTGTGCTGTGCTTATCGAGGCCCTGTATGGTGTGCGTCAGTGTGTGCGCGGAGCGGGAGGGAGGGAGGGGGGGATGAAGATGGTCACAAATATAAAGCTGCACAGTCAGTGTCGATCAGACAGACAGTCGCACAGCAAGCCAGTGAGCGGCCATGAGACGTAGAAACACCACACACACAGAGAGAGAGACACACACATAATAGATAGCGACACCACTTGATAGAGGCACACTGACACACGCAAACAAGAGGGAGCTGAGAGATACCAACCGTCACTGCCCGTCTCTCTGTCTGTCCATATGTCCGTCTGTCCGTCTGCGGGAGGCAGGAGAGCACGCCATCCATCCATCCATCCATCCACCAACCGGGCCATTGAGCCACCAATAGCTATGCTCATTCTCACTCGTCCGTCATTCTCCTGCCCTTCTAACCTCAACAATAATCCTGTGGGATGCACTCACACATATAGATGGGGTCACGTAGGAAGGAACCAACACCCCCCTCCCCCCCCTCCGACCCACACACACATCTATATGCAATGCAATGAATGAAATGGAGTGTAACATTATGTAGGCATGTATGTAATTACGTTACGTACGGTTTTTACGTAATTATGGAGCGACCAACCAACCACCCTTTCACCACGCAACCAACGTTAACCCAACAAGGGAGGTACCAAGGGACAAAAAACAACCAACCCGGGCCAAGCCAAGCCAGGCTGAGCCAACGCTCCTTTGTCTCTTCCTCTCTGCTGGCTTGGCTGCATTCATTGCATTAAACCACCCAGACAGACACCCAGACGACCGCAGGACAGCAGCACACGACCACAGCATCATCGACAGATGGATGGATGGATGGCTGGATGGCTATAATCGCCTGACGGCCAGAGGGCTGCCATCGTCGCTGAGAGGCTGGGGCGGCGATGCGGACCCGTTTGCTGACGAGAGGGGCGGGGGTGTGAGGGAGAGGGGGGGAGGGTTGATGGAGCCGCTGCTCTGTGGGGACACGCCGGCCTGCCGCCCTGACGCGTCGCTGTCCACCATCTTCATCAGATCCATGATGTGCTTCTGACGACCTGTCTTCTGCAGCCAATCCCTGCACACACATGGACAGCAAGGTACTGGCTGTCTGTCTGTCTGCCTGTTTGTCTGTCTGGGTGTGTGTGTGTGGTCGACTTGGCTCCGCTTGCTTACCTGAAGTGTCCCTGTATGTATTTGTTCAGGGCTTGCCGCGGCCCCTCGGGCAGCTGGCCGATAGACTCCTGCAGCTCCTTCACCTGCACACGTCCACACACACACACACACACACACACAAGGCCGTCGATCGGCGCACTATTTAAAGCACCAGCCATGCCACTTACCGTCTCTATCCTCTGCTGCAGGGCCGCGGCATACACCTCCGGCAGCACCAGCCGCTGCCTCGACGACACACCCACACCAATACCACCTCCACCGCCCGGGCCCCCCTCGTCCCTCTCCCTCTCCTTGCTGCTGCTGCTGGCGGTGCCGGATGTGGGCGTAGGCGACCGGGGGAGGGCTGAGCTGGTGGGTGCTCCTGCTGCTGCTGCTGCTGCTGCAGCTGGTGGTGATGCTGCTGCTGCTGCTGCTGTGGGTGGGACGTGTGTGGGGGATTGGGGCTGCGACGCTGGCCGGCGACCGGGGCTGCACCGACGATCAGGCACCACCAGAGCCTGCAGCATGACACACAGACAGGAACCGCACCCGCAAACACAGTACCATGAACCAGCCCACCCCCCGACCCACCGATCCACTCACTCACCCGCCATGCATACCTGGAACTTGTCAGGGTGCACCAGCCGATAGGTCAGCCCGGCGTCCTCATCCCCATCCACAACCGACGCCGACCGCCCCAGATCCCCCAGCAGTCGCGGGGGGAATGTCTGGCTCAGCGCGTCGGGGCTCGTGGGCTCTGGGCCGCCCCCGCTACCCGCACCATGGCCATGCAGCCCGGCGCGCAGTGCATGGGCATGGAGAGTGCGCGACAGCTGTGGTTGGTTGAGGGAAGCGTGTGTGTTGGCGAGGTTGGGGGCGCAGCAGATGGGGTGGGCGAAGAGGTCGACGCACTCCTCGTCGTACCGCAGCGTGGAGCCCTCAAGGAGGGTGTCGAGACGGCTGTACACAACTGGAAGACAGCAGGGAGGGAGGGAGGGATGAAGGATGAAGGATGTGGGTGTGGGTGCAGGTGTCTGTGGGCGAGGGGTGTGCTCACTGTTGCTGGGTGCTAGTTCGATGGCTCGTGTGTCGCCAGTAAGGATGGGCCGCAGCCGGCAGTAGCAGTAGAGAGTCGTGTCAGTCACGTTCTCTAGCCTGCAAACATCCACACGCGACAAAGACAGGCAGATGGAGGGGCGAGTGGCACGCAGGCCGGACTGACTGACTTGATGGCCTTGGCGATGGTGTGGACCTGCAGGCGCTCCGAGTTGTTGATGGAGCACAGCGACGACACCGCACACAGCACCAGCTGGCAGCCCTCGCACGACCCCACATACACGAACCGCACCCTGCACACACCACGACAGACAGCACACGCCACACACGCAAGAATCAGCCATCTGATGGATGGATGGATGGTCCACCCAGACAGGTGCCTGCCTGCCTACCTTGCTGTGATGTAGATGGTGCAGTCGGTGCACTGGAAGATGTGCACCGAATCCGCACCGTTCAGCTCGCTCTGCATGAGACGAGGCATCCGTGTCTTTCCTTCCCTTCCCTTCCCTTCCCATGCCTCCCTCCCTCCCCTCATCTATCTGTGTCACTCACCCACCTGTTCTCGGATGATGCACGCCTTGCTCACCCCAACGATCATCGACCCCCCCGCCCTGATGGCCTGACCGCACAACCATGAGTGCCGCACACCATAAACACACGTCATCCCCGCCCCCACATCCACCGACGCACCGACCTTGGCGAGCGAGGAAGAGGAGAGTGAGGTGGCCTTGTCAGGTCCGGTGAGGCTCGGGTACTCCTCCCAATTCCACACCAGACGCTCGCGAATCAGCTTCTGCGTCACACACACACACACAGACAGACAGACAGACAGACAGACAGAGAGGTGGGATTGGTGGCTTTCACACCCACACACACGGATACCCCCTGACATGCACACCTTGATGTGTTGTATGGGGAGGGCATCCGTGGGGCTGCTGCCGCCCCCCTGCCCCTCGAGCAAAGCACTCCCCAGCGGCCGCTCACCACTGATATATATGTTTTGTAATGACACACACACACATGGATGGATGGATGGATGGCACAAAGGTCTGATTGTCGTGTGCAAGTACGTGGCGATGAGGATGGCGAGTTGGTTCAGGTCGTCGCACGCGATTTCGTCCAGCGCCTGATCCTTCCCGTAGCACCTGCTCACCAGCTGTAGAAGCGGCTGCACACACACCGACAGGCCGACCGATCGACAGGCAGACGACAAACTGCTGGACAAGAGGACAGGGTCATGCTGGGTGCCTGTCTGCTGACCTCGGTGTTGTTCCTGACGAAGTCGACTATGTGGTTGTTGTCGCGCCTGTACGTCTTGGTCGTTATCTGAGCCCTGCATTCACGCCGCAATGCACACACATACACACACACACACACACATATATCAGAGCACTCCTCCCTCCTTGACTCCCCCTCCCCAGCCTGGCCAGACCCAAACACACCTACCTGGGTGACGATGCGCTTGACCTTGGCGAGTTGAGGGGGTGTTGCCCCTGCGACCCGGGCGCCGTGAGGCTGTCCATCGACCTGGACACCCTGTCCTTGTCGGGCCAGTCGATCTCGCTTTTGAGGTTGAAAGCGCGGTACCGGCTGGGCGTGTAGGTCTGGAGGTACAGCAGCACGCCTAGCACGCGGATGTCGATGAAGGGCGCGGAGCAGTCGGTGGGGATCCCGATGCCGCTCCCAGACATGCCCGACGGGCTGGACGGGGCCATGCCCGCCTCGCTCAGCGGCGTGGCGTTGGCCACATCGCTCCGCTTGTGGCTCGACGACGTGGCGGGGCTGAAGCTCGACACCGACTCGCCGCCGGTGCCGCCGCCGCTCGCCATGGGCATGATGGTGTCGGTGAGGGCGCTGAAGACGCCCCAGTATGCGAGTGCCTCCTGATCGGAGAGAGGGAGGGGCCCGGTGGAGCGGTCCCTGATGAATTGGATCCACTGCTGGCGCGTGACGCATGTTGAGGTGGAGGGGCTGGTGAGGCTGAGCTTGCCGAGGAAGTCGAATATCTGTGCGGATGTCCAGCTGGCGGACGCGCGGGAGGGCGTGTGCAGCAGGCCGTGGTCAAACACTTCGCCTCGCACCCAGATGCGGAGGCTGTCCACCATGCTCATGGCAGATGAGTTATTATAACCGCCCGACGTGCGCCAGGTCTCACTCTCAGGGGAACGCCAGTCGACTCGACGCCGAAAACCAACTTGAAGCCGCGAGGGCTGGCGATGCTCGCTCGCTCAATGGTTCCGGACGTTTCTGCTTCCCTCCTTCTCCGCTCTTGACGGAAAACGCGAGCTTGAAGCCAATGCGAGCTTCAAAAATGCTTCGGAGGACGAGAGCGTGTCTGCCTGTCAGCGCCGGCTTCCTTGCTTGCTCTCGACCTGACCTTTCTGTTTTTTGAGGCCGTGGAGCAAGAATGGCGGCCTTGGTGGGGCTTGGAAGGAGCCTGGCCCGAAGCACGGCTGCCCTCTCATCGGCAGCACTGCCACCGGTGAGCAGGGAACAAGCGTCCATAGGCACACAGCAGATCTGCAGCTCTGCTTGTGCTTGTGTGTTGCGCCGGATGTGGTTTGGTTTGCAGCCTGTTGCACCCTTCATTGCCTTCGGCCGGCGCCGTTTCATCTCGTCGTTGGTGATTGCCGACGTCAAGAATGGCGACCTCACACAGGGTACCAGGGAGTGCATCGCGGCCGCACAGCAAATGGGCGAAGTGGTACGTAAGCCAACCAAAGCACTGCACTCACGGCCACTCACGGCCAGCGCACATAGATCTTCTTCTATCGTGCAAAGGGCGCCTCTGTGTGTGTGTGTGTGTGTGTGTGTGTGTGTGTGCAGTTTGATGTGTTGGTGGCTGGGCCGCGGGCGGTGGAGGGTGCCAAGAGTGCGGCTGAGTGTGATGGTGTGCGGACGGTGCTGCTGGTGACGGACGACAGGTGGCCCGAGTTCGGCGACAAGCACCTCGTCGACATCACATACAACATCAAACAAATGGCCGTCAGTAAGTGCAGCCCAGCCAACCGACAAGCGACAGACAAGGCACACACAACACGCGAGGAGAAATTGGAGGAGTCACCATCTGTGTGTGTGTGTGTGTCGGTGTGTGTCGGTGTGTGTGTCAGATCAGTATCGCCAGATGTTGCACCCTTACAGCGAGGGGCGTGATATGTTCTTCAAGCTCCTGGCAAAGGAGTTCCAGGCTCAGGCCTACTACAACATCATAAAGTTCAAAGTAAGTGGCCCCAGGTCCATGATGAATGAGGGGCCCTCATCTGTCATCCATCTCCGTGTTGTGTGGTTTGGCTGCGCGTCAGAATCCGACCGAGTTTACGAGTGAGGTCAAGCCCGGCAAGCATGAGGAGAGCAAGGTCCCCTTCCACGTCAAAGCCATGCCACTATCGGTCAGTCTGTCGGTGGGGTCGGTGGGGTCTCTGCGGCATCCATCCATCCATCCATCCAGTCATTCATTCATTCATTCACCCCCACCCTGCCCGCCATGCTTTGTTTGTCCCTTGCGTCCATCCATCAGATCTTTGGCATCAAGGGGGGCGCCTTCCCGGTGCCTAAGAGCCGCGAGGAGAGTGCGGACAAGGCGCGCATCAAGAAGCTGCCCAGCATGATGCTCCGCGTGTCCACAGTCGACCCTGAATTCTACGGCGGAGGTAGGATACCCACCCGCTCTGGAACGAACAAGCCATGGCGCGCTGGGCTTGGTTGGTTTGGACAGAGCGTGGCCAGGAGGTGAAGACCGGGACTGCGTGGAAGTGGACTCACACCCTGGTCCGCGGCAAGGAAATTCTGCCCAACAAGCGCCACGGGGAGAGCTCGTACCGCGTCAACCACTCTCCCCTCTACATGTCATTCGGGCTGATATTCTTCTTCGGCGTGATGTGGAACCCCTTCTACCTCGGCAACTGGATCGCACCCGACAGAAGGGACTTTGTCGAGTCTATCGAGTAGCCTGCAGCACAACAAGGGTGGGTGGGTGCTTCGTGTGTGCAGTGCAGAGGGGTGTGTGGTGTGGGGTGTGACCCCTATGCCTTTGCTGATGGCATGGAAGGAGGGCATGCTGACCGAAACAGACAGCAGTGTAGTTGTAACCAAGCGTTTGTCGGGTTCGCGTCTCGTCGCTTTGTCGCGACGCTGTGCACGCTCATGTGCGACATGATGAGAGCATGTGAGCACGTGTGCGTGGGCAGCCGGATGACGAAACGCGAGAATGAGTGAATTGACCATAAGGCGAGAGAGTCCATGGTCACGCCATCACTCATTCGGCAAGCTTGTCTAACGGCCACACACAGATGTGCTGTCTGTGCGTGTCCACAACACGCTGGCACGGAGGCATGTGAAGCGTCTTTGAGTTCGATTCCGTCAAACAAGCAGCGAGGCCGTCTGACATTCATTTCTCCGCAGGGAGGCACACAATCAAATTCCGTCGCACACGAATGACCAGCTGGATGTGTTACAATATATGTCTGTATGTTGGTTCTGTACGCACGTGTGCATGGGATCGACCGATCGCGAATGCTTTACCAATCACAGGCACACGATCGACCGATTAAATCACCCACTCCCTCCCTCCCTCCATCCCTCGCCCCTCCCTCGCCCCTCATCCACCAAGAAGAGACACACTCTGTGCTTCAGCACCGTCAGTCAAACAGAGAGACAAACAGAGAGACAAGCAGTCAAACAGAGAGACAAGCAGTCTGTGTGTCTGCTGGCATGCTGTGTTGTGTGTTGTGTGCAGGCAGATCTTGTTCTCGCGCTGTTTTCGAGTTGCCAAGCACAACGAAACAGCGTACAACGAGAGCACCAATGCAGACAGCAACGAAGCGCAGCACGATGAAGACCGCCCTCTACCTCCTCGGCATCCTGTGGCTGACGGCAGCGGCGAGCGAGTCCAAGACCGACCACGACAACGACAACATGGCAGCGGCGCCAGGCGCACAAGATTACAGGAAGCCACACACAACACACACGAAAGAGACGACACAACTAACACACATAAGCATTCCTCCTGTGTCGGTCAAAGTAGTAGGTGCGCAGCAGGGCCCGTTGCCGGTTCGGAGTGAGACGCCCTCACCGACGGGGAGGAGACGTCGCCACACACGCGGACCCACAGCACACGGAAGGAACAACACATACAAATCACTGTTCCTGTGTGGCTTGATGTAAGTATGCAGGACCACGGGGAGACGCCCTTCGTCACAGGGACCTCCAAAGGGGAAACACACAGAGCTAAGCCCAAAGACAGACACGTACATATCAATATCCCTGTGTCTGTACATGCGCAGCAGCAGCAGGACTCGTCGACACGGACCTCGGAGACCGACACCGAAGACGCAAAAGAGGGAGCAAATACTCCACAGATACATATCGACATTACGATTTCTGTGAGTTTTGTGCAGCCACAGACGGAGTCCTCGAAGACAACGCCAAGCTCTTCGGCGGAGGGACAACAAGGAGAAGCAAAGAACACACACGCACTCGTGCATGTGCCAAATGTGTGTTTGCTTCAGAGACAGGAGAACACACCCAGTCCGGCAGAACGGGTCCAAGAACGACCACGACAAAACCAACAGACCGGCGAGCGGGTCCAAGACCGAGCACGACAATCGCTGCCTTCATGTTATATCCCGACCGTCACCTTCTCAAGCGGCCGAGCTGACGTCCGTCCACGAGCTCCTCGACGACTCACTCAGCACCGTCAGTCAAACACCGAGACAAACAAAGAGAGAGACAGGCAGACACTCATGTGTGTGTGTGTGTGTGTGTGTTTGTGATGGCTGCAGAGCCAACCTCGTTGGTCAGTCAAGCCTCACTCCAACATCGCTGCCTCCACTCAATACTCCCGGTGCATCCACTGCAACTGTCGTGTTTGAGCAACTGTCAGACAGACAGACAGACAGACAAACAGAACAACTGCATGTCGTCTCTCCCTATGTGTGCCTGTATAACCAGCAATCGACCGGCAAACTCTGGCGAGCGTCTGGAGACAAATGCCCACTCACTCCATCACACACAGATAAGCTGACACACACACACACACACACTCACACACAAGTCCATGTGCTGTCTGTCTGTCTGTGTTTGCGAGTGTCCTCCTTCGGCAGACATGTGGGAGGCCCAGTGCTGACGGCCAACAGCACAACTTTGTCACTGCTGGGCTCGCGCTGGTGAGCAGTTGACAGGCGACAAGAAAGGCTCCCACTGTCCCTCGTTCTCATGTCTGTCTGTCTCTTTGTGTCTGTTCTTTTGTGTCTTGCATTCAGCTCCTCGCGATGGTGGAGACACAAGACGTACACGCCGGTGGAGATGGAGAAGGTCGTCCTGGACTACTTCCCCATGTCGCCGAACCGACTGGCCGAAGCCGAGCAGGACATGCACCACCAGACCAACTGCAGAAACAAAGAAAAGAGGTTTGGCTCAGAGACAGACACAATGGCTCATCATCACAAACTAAGGGTGTGTGTGTGTGTGCAGAAGGACCACTCATCCGCCGCTCCACACCCTTATGTCTCTGACTGGTTATGTCTCTGACTGCTGCCTACATCTTATATCCTGACCGCCGTCTACCAAGCCACGGCCGAGCTCACGTCGTCCACCACGAGCGCCTCAACGACTCCCACAGCTCCCGCAGCACCGTCAGTCAAACAGAGAGTCAGCGACAGAGAGAGAGACGTGATCGATCTGGTGTGTATGTATGTATGTCTGTGTGTGTGTGTGTGTGTCTGTGCTTGGACCCGTCAGGTGGCTGCAGAGCCCACAGGAACAATGCACCCATGTGTCAACAAGGTGGCGTTGGTTTGGCGTCTGAAGACAAACACCCACTCACTCAATCACGCACAGATAAGCTAACACACACACACACACACACACAAGTCCATAAGGTGTCTGTCTGCTGATGTCTGTCTGTGTGTGTTTGCGAGTGCCGTTTGATCTTTTGATTGATGACTGATTCATTGACTCGTTGGCTTTACATATGAGCTGCAGTGTCCATTCGTCAGTGTGTGCAGTCAGTCATGCATGTACATGCAGTCAGGAGAGACGCTTGCATGTGCGTGTCGAGCAATTCCGAAAGGCCATTCCTCCACATTCACTCATGAATGAATTGCAGCCACCCTCTCTCGCTCAGCCACCTATTTAAATTTTGCTTTGCCCAAGACAGTCTGTTGTCGATGTACTCATCTCGGATTGGGAATGGCGTCTGTGTCGACCACAATCGGTCTTCCCAATCCGAGATGCTGTCAGCATGTCCCCACGTGTCTCTTGTCTGCTTCAAGGGAGATGCAGACAAAGCATGAGCAAATGGGCGGGTGATTCATGAAGGTGGAGACGCACATTAAGGACAAGATGGGATAGGAGTCGCCCATGCCAGTGGGCAGTGAATTCAGCATGGGGTGACAGCGAGCTTGTTGTGCGACGTGTAACTTTTGCTCTAACTCGAATCGACTCAAGTGGCGATGAGGCTCAGGAAAGCTCACACAAGCTCTTATTGAAGCGTCCGGCCTCTCAGCCGTCAGTTCGAAAAGGCAACTAAGCTCTGTGGCCCAAGGCCTTGGCTGTCGGGCTGCCTGTGGGCCTGATAGTTCACCAGGCATCGTCAGGAAGAAGGCGGAGGGCTGAATGGGCTGCAACTGTTCGTCTGCGGCCAGGGCACACGAGCCGACGAGGGACGGTTCCCCTCCACTCGGGTACCACCTCTCACACACAGCAAACAACGAGTCCACTCGGTAGCCTTGCAGGCGTTTGGTGTTGTCCTCTCTTGTTGCTTTCGTTCCTTGCAGGCGTGCCTCGGCAGTGAGCCGTCCGGTGCACGTGGGAGGGTCCCCGCACGGCCTGCACACGCCCTCTGATACGCCGACGCAGGGCGGCCCGCTGGCCGTGACGGCGCCCAAGCCGCGGCCTTTCCTGTACCAGCCCAGCGAGAGGGAGTTCCTCGAGTCACTCAGGCCTGAGGAGAAGACACACAGGAAGCTGCTCAGGCGATGGTTCAAGTGAGCAAACAGAGGAAGGGCATGGATGTAGCAAGGGTTAGAGATGTCACTTACTCTTTCTCTCTGTGTGGCAGCATGCTGCAAGACGGCGAGTTTGCTGAGTACTTTGCTGACCACCCGGACAACTTTCGGAAGCGACTGAGGAAGGGCCCGCCAGCACGCTTCAGGTGAGTCAGGGAGTGAGTGGCGGACACAGCCTTCAAGGCAAGGCAAGCCTCTTACGGCCGTTACGGTGCGGCCGTGTGCGTGTGATTTCATTCCTTTCCTGGATGTGTGGGTGCAGGTGGCTGTCGTGGAAGGCGGCAGTGGGGTACGGGGATTCGTATAAGGTCGGCAAATACGAGGAACTGGGTAAGTCGGACAGACAGACAGAGGGCACAAAGGGAGGCGTGGATGGTTTGATGTCACGATGAATGGCCGCAGCGAGTCGCGCCAACCCCGAGAACGACCCCAAGATCCAGCTGGACCTCAAGAGAACCTTCCCAGAGGGAGAAGGCAGCCTCTTCTTCAAGTAAAATACATGCGCACATAAGTTGACAGATGCCCTCCCCTTGTGCAGCGGTCACAGCTATCCCTGTGCAATTGCTCCCTGCCTTGTCAGGGACCCGGCTGGGCAGGCGGCTCTGCGTCGGCTGCTGGTGGCATACGCCAACCACAACCCAGGCATTGGGTGAGCGAGCTGCCGTGAGTGAGACCTTTTTTCATGGTTTCGTGTGACGTGATCCCCGTGTGTGTGCGCGTCTTTCTTTCTTCTGTGTGTGTCTTATCATCAGGTACGTGCAGGGCATGAATTTCATCGCAGGGTACCTGTTGCTGATGGCCCACACCCACAAGCTTGACGCAGCCCTCTCACCGTCCACAGCCACACGCACCTCCACACACCCCTCAGTCCCCGACCTCACCTCCCCGCCCTCCCACGGGCAGGCGCCGCAGGGCGGCACAACCAACTCCCCCAACAGCCTCTTCTCCTCCGTCGGCATGGGCGGCAGCAGCCGGCAGGGCGGCTCGCCGCCGAGCAATGCGTGGGTTGGCGGGGGTGGTGGTGGCGCTGGCGAGAGGGGTCCGTCGTGTCGAGGTCCGATGGGCGGTGGTCAGATGACTAAGGAGGGGCTGCGGGAGTTGGAGAGGAAAGCCGAGGAGGAGGCCTTCTGGGTCTTCGTGAGGATCATGGACGCAGAGACCTATGGGTGGGTGACGAAACACACCACACAGCACAGCACACCACCACAAACAGCATTTGTGCACTGTCCTTGTGGATGCGTGCCATGCAGTGCGTCCCGTTTCTTTGAGGAGGGTTTGTACGGGATCAAGCTGTTCATGCATCAGTTCGACGCGCTTGTGAGGCAGAAGCTGCCCATCCTGGCACGCCACCTCGAGGACAACGACGCCCACGTCGAGGTCTACGCAATGCAGTGGTTCATCTCACTCTTCCTATACAGGTCTGTAAACTGCCTGACAGAAAGATACCACACAACCGCACAGACATCAGTCGTGTCGTGGTGTGGTGTGTTGTGTTTCATGTCAGCTTCCCGTTTGAGTGTGTGGGTCGTCTGTGGGACTGGATGCTGAGCGAGGGCCTCGAGTCAATGCACCACATCGGCCTCGCCATCCTCAAGCTGCTCAGGTGGGCAGACACACAACACCCACAAGCAAAGCAGACAGAACAGACAGACGGAGGCAGGAGAGCATGCTTGCTCATGTGCATGCCTGTCTCTGTGTGTTTGCCAACCAGGAATCGGCTCATGAATGCGCGTGACGTCGAGTGCGTGCGCCTGCTCAAGTTCGCCCGCCAAAACGTCTACGAGATGGGCAACTCCGACGATAAGTAAGTAACACACATCGCATACCTGGACAGGCAACAGACTGGCAATATTGTGCCCCTCTCTCTCTCTCTGTTGGTCAGGTTGCTTGCCCCTGAGGCCATCCTGGGCACAACCGCCAAGGTCAAGATCCAAGCAGGTGGGTCCGCAGACAGACACCGGCAACGACAGGTAGAGAGACCTACATCCATCCACGCATCCGTCAGATTATCTCGCCAAGCTTGAGGAGGAGTGGCGCCGAAACAACCTGGTCATCCCAATCAACGAAGACAAGGTAGAACAAGACGCCTTCCTCTCTTGGACGGGCACCATGTCTGTCTGTCTGTCCGTCTGTCTGTCGGTTCTTTCCCCCTTTCATCCACCAGAACACCCCCACGCAGCGCGCCCGAGGCCGCCCATCCTCGCAGTTCCTGATGGTAGAGGACTTCGACACCCTCGAGAGCGACGTGTCGCCGCCCAACGGGCGTCGCAACCGTCCAGGCCTGGGATCGCCCGACTCGGCGTCAAGCCGAGACTCTGTGGTGCGATCGGTGCCGCAGTCGCCGCGGTCTGAGTTCCACCGCAGGCAGAGGAGGCGCGATGATGACGTCCCCTCACGACCCAGGAGTGAGGCTGGGGTCATCGAGAGGCGTGTCAGCAGCGAGCAGCAACTGTGCAGGAAAACAAGCATCAAGGGGTACGCGTGTGTGTATGATGGCCGGGGATTCTAAGGAAAGAGGCAATGTTATGTCCCCCTGCTTGTGACTGACTGACTGTCAGTCGGAATGGTGACCTGTCGACGAGCAAGGGTCCCGCTCTCGCGTGGGAGGCCGAGAGCCCCTCAACCTCGTCACACCGACTTCCCTTCTGCCCCTCTGTCGACAACAGCCCATCTGGCCGCGGACGAACGTCGGGCGAGTTCTTCGAGAACACGCCCGTGACGCCCCTGCCGCCCACACAGCGGGCCGACTCACGAGAGGATGTCAAAAGGGTATGCACTGTTAGATGGATGGATGGATGGGTGCGGGAATGTCTCGCAATGGGGTGAATGGATCTCTTCGTCTTTGCTGATGCAGGCGGCATCGTCTGCTGACAAGGGCTTGACACAGCCTTCACCATCCCCCGAGCTGTCGCCGGCCGCCCGCCCGACGACCTTCCAGCCACCAGTCGAAAGCCACACCACGTCGGCGGCCCAAGACGCTGCCGTTGAAGGCTCACCGAGGTGACACACACGCACATATGGGCGGGCACGTGGGTTACATTGCCATTGCAACCATCATTTATTGTGTCGTTGGATTGCTCGTCGGATTGCTCGTCGGCAGGCCTCTGACGCTCCCTCGGCTGACGAGCGAACGGGGCCGTCGCAGCGGCACAGGCACCGGCACGAGCAGCAGCGCGTCCATCGACAGACAGCCACCCCTGGCGTCCCTCGCAGGCGGCCTTCCGTCTCCCGTCATGCACGCCCCGCCGCGCTTCCTCCTGTCTGAGGGAAGTGTGGCTGGCGGCATGTCCGGCTGGCGAGGGACATCGGGGGGACGGCAGACATCAGCCAGCACCACACGAGGCTCATCAAAGTGAGCAGAGGAAGGAAGGAAAAATTGTGGCTTGGTGGATGGATGATGAATCGATGTATGTGTCGCTCTGTCTGTCTGTGTGTGTGTGATTGGTTGGTTCCATCAGGCGTCGGTCGCGGTCTGTTGGCCGCGAGGGCGACACATCGACAATCGCCACACGCCGGCCGCCAAAGCAGAGCGAGGATCGCATCCGCTCCCTGACCGTGCAGGAAAGCACGGGAGACTCATACGACTCATACGCCATGCCCCTCATCCACCGCGACACCCACCTGGTGGACGCAGCCGACCTCAGGCGGCGTGGATCGTCCGACAAGGACCTCCTTGACCACCTCACCGAGGACCCTCGTCTGCCCCCGCCCCCTCCCCCGCCCATCCCCATCCCAGCGATGGAGCCGACCCACCCGACGATGAGGGGCTGTGAGGGGCTGCATGGCTTCGAGAGCAGCCGGAGTGATCCTGACGTGATTCGGCATGGGGGCGGCAAGATGGAGGGCAAGAGGAAGACGGCCGAGGGCATGCTCTCGCTGGACGCCGGCGCCAAGTGGCGGCAGCACATACAGGAAGAAGACGAAGATGACTGGGACGCACCGGAGGTGAGAAAGAAAGGAAATGGCCACACAGAGGACGCACCGCACCTTCTTCGCTGATTCGGTTCTTCTGCCTGTTGTCTGTTCGCGCGCAGGAGGGCCCCTCGCAGCGGTCGCCATCCCCTCGTCACCTTGAGCCCGAGGACCCCCTTGACCAGCTCCAAGCCGCATTTGCCACGCCCTCTCCCTCAGCCACCGACGGGCCGCTGCACCGTGCGTGGCTCGGCCTCGCAGCAAGAGACAGAGAGTCACCTCGACACACACATCTCCGCCCTCCACAGCCCCCGGTGAGTAGCCGAGACATTGAGGCGAGCGGCGAGTCTGACGACTTGCACGAGAGCTCGACTGACGGGAACTCAGAGCTGGCAGTCGGTCACGAGCCGCCACTGGTGATGATGCAGCCACCTGGGTGGGGGCGGGGCGGGTCGCCCGGTGAAGATCCGATGGTGCCGTGGGGGCAGAGGGTCAGGGAGCCGTCAGAGGTGAAGCGGGAGGGCAATGGAGACGACATGAGGCAGCCAGTCGACAGTCGAAACGACGCTCCTGACACCATCTCGTACACGTCAACGGAAATCGATAGGTAGGTACCGCTGGCAGAGACAACGAATGCCCTTGGATGCATGTTCCCTGTCTTGTGTCAGGCGTGCCGGTGCTCCTCGTGAGGCCGTCCTTCCTCCAGATGAGCTCGACCATCTCTTTTCAAGCCCAATGCGGCTAGTCGGCCAGCTCCTGCAGCCCGACCGGCCCAACGACCCAGAGGACCAGTCGTCCATTCACGACCACCCCTCCTCCCTCCCAGAGAGCCGCGACGACATCCCCCACGCCATCACGTCACCCTCCGGCCGCTCCGACGACCACCGAGCTGCCCACGTGCCATCTGATGCGAGCCAGAGCGTGGTTATGCTGAGACCGTCGCCGCGAGAGAACGGTGCTGCAGGTGGGAGAAGTGGGCGGCTGGTGCCTGGTCTTGGTGGCGGCGGAGGGCGACAAGTGAGCGAAAACAGCGAGTCAAGTATCCGGAGCAACCAGACCGACGGGTGGTCCAAGAAGACGCCCTCTGCTTCCGACGATGGTGAAGGCCTGCTGGTGGTGGAGGCAGGCAACGTGAGGCGGCGATCGAGCGATGGGGACCATGTTGTGCGGCTGACGCGCGCAGGCCTGCCCCTTCCTGTCCCTACGGTGCTCAAAGTGAGGCTGGCATACGACGCGCGCGAGAGGGAGAGGGGCCGGAGCGATGGGAGCCATCTGAGTGAAGGTCCGCCGTCCAAGGGCCTGTCGCCGTGCGTCAGCGTGAGTGCGGTGAGCGGGATATCGCTGACTCAGAGCCCGCTTGTCAGCGAGCCCCTGGCGCCCTCTTTTTCGCTGAGGGCCTCCCGGTTGCCAATGAGGCAAAGCAGCGGGTCGTCGCAGAGACGCGCGGCGAGCGTGTCGCTCATCCCGGTGCTGTCACACTAACACGGTCCCGGCTGGCTGGCTGGCTGGCTGGCTGACGGATTTGTAGTGTTTTTCAGTCTGGGCACCGTCGGCTGGCCGGTGAGGGGGGTGGGGAGAGACAGTCAATCATGTACACGGACGTACGTACGGTACGGTACGGTGGTGTGTGTAAGTATGTATGCTGTTGGTGCACAGCTGCTGCTGCTGAGATCCTCTGACATGTATAGTGCGAGTCCCTTCGGTACGGACGGACGGACGTAATTTCGTCCAGTAAGTAAGGTACGTACGTCACTCTCGGTGAGATCACCGACACTTTGGACGGACTGCGTGTTGGCTCGCCCGCGGATCTGTGAAAGGATTGGTGGGTGAGGCAACACCGAGGGCGTCTCAGAAGTGTCGGCATCTCAGGCGAGGGAGAGAGGGCATGGCAGCCTCTTGGGGCATCCAAGAGTCATTCATTCTTCGGGTGAGTCGTGCTTTCGTGCACTGCATGTGTCTCCATTGACCTTCCAATTGGTGGTGTGGTTATGAAATGACTTCCACATACACAACTCACTGGCTATGAATCGTGCAGCGTGGCAAATTTCCGGCGAGAGAGGACAGGGGGCGCCCCCTCTCCGCATGCAGAAGCGCGCATTGTTTTCCGGTGGTGAACAACGAAAGCCATGGCGAGCACGGTGGTAGTGGCCCACCATCCAGCGAATAAGACGAGGAATCACCTGCTGGTCAAGGACGACGTCGGTCGCAGCAAGCCCACATACTTTGACCTTCCCGGCGATAGCTTCAAATACGGCAAGGCGCTCGCGTACGACAGGGAAGGGGCCAAGGAGGTCACATCCATATGGGTCCACCACAAGGTCAGTCAGGGGTGCAGGGGAGAGGGAGAGAGAGAGGGAGAGAGGGAGATTTCGCTGCTTCCTGCATTGGGGCTCATTCATAGCATGGAAGGCATTGGCTGGCTCCTCTGACTCCTGCTTGCCTTGTTGCAGCCCAAGCCAAGGCCTGAGTTGAGGGTGCAGGACTTCAAAAAGGTCAACAAGATGGCCATACACGAAAAGCTCGTCACTGCAAAGGTCGGCCCTTCCTGGTCTGGTCTGCGGCTCGTGAGTCGTGACGGACGGCGCTGATCGGTGTGTGGCTGTGCGGTGTGTGTGCAGGAGCAGGCGGCCCTGCGCAAGGCGACGACCAATGTGACCATCAAAAACATCATCCTGACAAACCCCTCCAAGAACATACCATCCGACCACAACCCAAGTCGCCACGCAGTGTCTTCCTCCTCCCTATCTCTCTGTATTCGCCCCCACTGCTGCCTGTCCTCTGCGTCTCTCGTGTGTGTCAGGTTTCGTCTATGGCATGCGGGGGCGTCCTTCGACGCCCATGGCGAGAGTCATCATGGACGACTACGGACGGGTGGGCCAACAACACACACACACACACACACAATGGGGAAAAATGTTCAATCGTTGTGTGTGAGTCGACTGCATGAATGCAATGCAGGCCGGCGTGGACATGCTGGCGAAGCGGTATGAGTGGTATGACCACGAGCACGAGAAGGCCGTCACATCCACCAAGCAGCCCAAGATCACCAGAGTGAGGCAGCCAGGCAGCAGTGAGGAAGCTCAGACCTGGCCGGCTCACCCATGTCTCCCTCTCTCCTCTATGCGTGTGTCTCGCTCAGGCTGCCCAGGGCCATGCGTCGGTGGTGCGGAAGGTCAAGGAGCTACAGGCTGCCGCACACCAGAAAGAAATGTTCAAACTCAAGAAGTATCAGCAGGCGGGCCCCAAGGTAAGCGAACGCACTGTCGCATCCCCCCCCCCACACACACCCTCTCACCCTGCGTGTGTGTGGCAGCTCGAGACCTACGCCACGACCAACTGGCGTGCCGGTATGGCTGCTGGTGGTGCTGACGCACTTGGCCCGCCTCCGGTGCCGGTGGGGGATGTGGAGGTCTATCCACCGCCCGGTGGCGAGGGGCCGGAGCAGACCGTTGCTGCTGCTGCTGCTGCTGATGTGCCTGCTGGGGGCGCCGCAGACATGCAGGCACAGGAACACGTGGCTTGACCTTCCACCTTTTCCGTCATGTCGTGTGGTGTGGATCGGTGAGTGAATGACTCTGTCGATGTGCTACTGATCGAATGCTCGGGGTGTTATGTATGGGTTGATTGATGTCTGATCGTCAAACTGCACCATGTCATCCATCCTGCAAGCGCGTACATACTTACATGAGCACAAACGGCGTCCATGTGTGTCTTTGTGGGAGAACACGAGTATGCAACAAACATGACCGAAAAACCAGCCACTGTCTGTCTGTCTGTCATAGCACCAATTAGTCGTCCTGCATTCCCTCTGTGTCCGTCTCTCGTGAGACTGCCGCTGCTGTCTCTCGCACGGACTGACCGCTGCACGATCCACCGTCCAGCGATAGCACGTACAAGGACGAGAACATAGCAGTCTCACAAAAGCCAATCACCGAAGGGCAAGGGCAGTAGATGTCACACACCATCAGTTCACCAACCATGCCACGACAATCCCCACAGTCAGCTCAGCCAGATAGCTAGAGTCAGGCTCATTCCGTCAGTCGATTCCTGCCGCCCGGTCTCGATGCAGCAACCATCCGCAACCGACGAAGGAGGCGGAAGGTTACAGCACCCACCCAGATGAAAGGAATCAATCAGTCGGAGAACCCATGTTAGTCAAGACTTCCATCCATCTCGAGAAAACCACAACGGTTGCGGCTGGCTTATTTGCTAGAGCTCCGGGAATGGTTGTTGGTTGGGCAGCAGGCCGTATCTCTTCTTGAGCTGCACACGCTCCTCAGAGTACTTGTCATCAGGCGAGAAACGAGCCGGGTGCGCTGAGAACGTCGGCTTGCCCTCGGGTGACTTGGGCTACATGGCACACACATGGCATGACACACACAAGCCAATCAAGGGAGGGGAGCAGGCGCGGACGCACACATGCATCTCTGCCTTCATCTGCGCTGTGTGGCTCACCGAGAGAGTGTAGACCCGTTCTCCCTTCTCGTTGAAGTAGAACCTTAGCAGCATCTTCCCATGCGAGGAGAATCCAGGCTGCGCGGCTCGATCCGCGAGCCTGCAGCTCGCAGACGTGTACGGAACACTGTAGCGCTATCTGTCCCAAAACTCGGTGTGAGGGGAGATCCCGCTCGTCACCCACTCCGTCCTCTGCCCTTCCCGCAAGGAGAGGGACTCCGGCGCGTCCCTCGAGACCAGCTCTCAACACCGACGCGAGATCGGCGAGGAGCCGGCAGGCGCGGGGGGGAGTGAAGAGAGAGAAGGCAAACACACGAAAGGAGCAACGAGGGAGGACGAGGGACAGACAGACAGACACCCCCCTCACAGTAACCGAGATGACCAGAGGTCACAGACGGGGGAGGATGCTCGGAGGGCTTCTGGCGCTCGCTCTGCTCGCTGTGGGTCAGTGTCAAACACCAATCCGTGATCTACAGCGATATGGTGAGCAGGGGAGGGAGGGGGAGCCGCATGCACCGCCACCACACGCACGCGATCAGCATGGAGAGGGCCTTGAGATAGATCTGATTTTGAGAAAGGAACGGGGGTAGCCAGATCTGCCACACGAGCACGTAGTCACCCTCTCATCCTTGTGTTTCCCCCTCTCCGTCGTGTGTGTCGTGTCGTTCAACAGAGTGTGTGACGAGGGTGTACGGTGAGGGCAACGACACCGCGACGTCCGTTCTCAGCGGTCCAGGGCAATGTGGTGGAACCGACGGTCGCGGCGGCTCACGCGCCCTTGCTCTCGACCCGACACTGAAGCCTCCTGCCATGAGAAGTGAGTGAGAACAAAGGCCACTGGGCTGACAGCGCACCCCACCCCCCCACGTGCGTGTGTGGTGCGTGTGATTTATGTCAGGCGTGGCCCCGGTGTACAACCAGAGCCTCAGCTGCCTTGCCGGGGAGGACTGCACCCTAGCTATCAACGGATTCGGCCTCCGAAGAAAAGACCAGCTGCTGATCCTGCCCGCGCCGGAAGATCGCGACTCGGCCGTGTGCCCGCCCACCACCCGTCTGCTGCGCGGTGCCATCCGTCTGGTGCCCACTGACCAGCTCAACTCGACCGCGCTCACGGTCTTCAAGGTCGGCAGCAGGCTCGACCCGGGCAGCTACTACATGTGCTACTCGGCATTCCTCGCCGCCGGAACAGAGGACCCAGACCCAAGGGACTTCTACCACCATGTCGGCTTTCTCGGTGAGTCAGTGAGTCGTGGGTAGAGAGAGAATGAATGCGTCGACGAGAGATCAATGACACACGTGTGTGTGTGTGTGTGTGTGTGGATGTTTGTCAGAGATCGGCGACTACAGTGTGAACTGCGACTTCGAGAACGGTCTGTGCGGCTTTACCAACTACGTGGACGACGCGTCGGACGAGGTCTTCAAGAGCGGCAGCGGCAACCCCCACAAGGACGACTACGTCGTGGCCCCGGGCGTCGGTCCCGATGGTGACGCCACTGAGGGCCTCGAAGGCCAGGGCCATTACATGTACCTCGACTCGCCCCGCTTCATGCCGGGCGCCACGGCCACCCTCCGATCGGTCCCCCTGTTCGCCCCCAAGGGCAAGCAGTGCGTGCAGTTCCAGTACAACATGTTCGGCGACGACGTCAACGCACTCCGCGCCTACGCCGCGCCGCACAAGAAGAACCAGGAGGTGACGGGCGACTGGGGCAACCCCTCGTGGCTCCTGGTGGGCAACCAGGGCCCGGGATGGAAGAAGGGAGGCTTCGAAGTCACCCATGACGGCGACGCCCCACTGGAGCTGGTGTTCGAGGCAGTGGCTGGCAATAGCGAGCTGAGCGACATCGGCATTGACGACATCTCTATGAAGCCAGGCGCCTGTCCCCAGGACCTGCTCATCCCTGACACCCCACAGAGCGGCAGCGACCTCGGTGAGTTGATTGACGGGGCGGGCAGGGAGAGCAGCGAGTCAGAAAGGCAGACAGGCAGGCAGTGAGGCAGATGGGTGTATGACGGGGAGGAGGGAGGGAGGGATGAGTTCCTTATCTATGCTGCATCTGATCGCAAGCGAGATGGTGATAGCTAACTTCTCACCTCGTCTGACCCTTCACACATACACGCATGGCACATCCATCCGCCAATCCCTCTTACCGCAATGCATTCACTTCTCTCTTCTTGCTGTGTGTGTGTGTGTGTGTGTGCGTGTGATCCATCCATCCATGCCTCAGTGTGCGGTGAGGTGCGTCTGGTGAGCGGCCAGTGGGCTCTCGACAAGTCGTGGTACGTGGAGGGTGCCGTCTCGTGCGCCGGCCGTGGCTACTCGGTCGACCAGATGAACGGGACGTGGGTGCCGTGCTGCCTGCCCCACTACGGCAACTACACGGTGGTGCTCGAGGACTCGTTCGGCGACGGCTGGGACGGCAGCTACGTCGAGTTCCGCTTCTTCGACCAAGTGCTCAAGCTGGGCGACGACTTCAGGGAAGACGAGGGCAAGGAGAAATCCTACAGCCTCATCGTCGGTATGTACGACCGATAGATAGACGGACACTCTGCCTGCAGGGCTGCATTGCATTCGGTCACAGGAAAGAATGCGTCCCTCTGTTCCTTTCCTGCGTGCTGTTCCCCCCTCATCATTCATCAGGTTTGATGCAGGTTGTCGCTGCCCGCGGCACTGAGTCCAAGATCGAGCTGGACGTGGAGGTGCGGCAGGAGCAGTCCAGCGTGTGGTGCCTGGCCCTCTCACAGGGCGCCGATGCACCCACGGGCGCGACGGTCAAGGAGGACGGCGTGTCGGCAGGCGGCCCTCTCAAGGTGGGCGAGACCCGCACCATCACCATCGACGAGGGCCTTGAGGCCAACAAGAACTATGACGTCTACTGCTACGCCGAGACGAGCGGGTCGACCGGCGGCGTGCCAGTGCTGCAACAGGCCGGGTCTGACCGGGTGAGCGCCCTCCAGGACTCAGCCAGCGAGACGCCCAGCGAGATGGACGACAACCAGGTCAGGTCGTCGAGGACTCGCGTCACCACCGGTGAGTAACTTAGGGCGTGAGAAGAGCGCCGACCCTTGTGTTGCATCATTGTGTGTGTGTGTGTGTGTGTGGTGTGGGCTTGCAGACAGCACGGCCCCGAAGCTGACCGTTGAGAAGGTGACTCCCAAGCCGACGACAGCCGAGGTGACGGTCAAGGCCAACGAGGCCGCGACGGTGTGGTGCATGGCTCTTCCCGAGGGCCGCACCGGGCTGCCGCCCCTCGACACCTTCAAGGAGCGCGGCTCGCGGAAGGAGGCCAGCAAGGACAAGAACACCACGGTCGTTGTCCGCGAGCTCTACCCCGACAGCCCGTACAAGGTCTACTGCTACGCCGAGGACAAGGCTGCACCAAAGGGCAACCGCATGACGGAGGACGCCGTCAAGGAAACAGAAGAGGAATTCACCACCGAAAGTCAGTACGCCACCGAGCGAACGGATGAGCAAAAGACAGACAGACAGACGGGCAGAGAGAGACCCAATACGGCACGGCACCGACCGACCTCTGTGTCTGTGATGCAGGCAAGATTCCCGAGCTCAAGATCGTGAGCACCCGTGCGGTGGCCGACGCCATCTACATCACGACGGAGCTGGACACCCCCGGCCAGACCTGGTGCGCCGCCCGCGATTCGCAGTACACCCAGCGTCCCTCCAAGGACCAGGTCAACCGTCTGGGTGCGTCGGCCAAGTTCTCTCGTCCCGGCCAGAAGCAGGACCTCATCATTGCTGGCGTCGAGAGCAACGTCAACTACGACATCTACTGCTACGCCGCCAGCCAGAGCGGGTCCGCTGAGATGGACGAGGAGCAGATGTGGAGCACCAAGTTCCAGGTCCAGTCCTTCGGTAAGTGACGTGACTGAGGAACGAGATGCGAGATCCAGAAGATCCATGTCTCTCCCTTCCTTTCCGTCCGTGGTCGCGTGCGTGTCAGGTGCCTTCTGCGACATGCCAACTACCCCACGGGTGCGCGAGGAGGGCACTGCGACGCCCTTCGACCCCCTGACGGCCACCGAGGAGTCTGTCGTCAAGTCCTTCATGGAGGGCCGCAGAGACCTCGGCCTCGAGGGCGTCTACCGCGTCTCCCTCTTCCCTGTCAAGTAAACCGCCCACCACACCACCACAGGACGAACGTGTGATGGATGCCTGTGTCTGTGTGTGCGTGCGCCACATACAGGGCGGACATCTTGAGATATCTGGACGACGGCGGCCCCATGCCCAAGCGGTACGCCCGTGTGCGTGCAGCCCGTTGCAGCGGCGGTCGTGGATCCTACCTGCAGTA